GAGGTCTTAGGAAGAGCAGCCAGAATCATACAGTGGAAATTCCGCTCCTACCGGCTCCTCAACGCTGCAATAAATATGCAGGCTGTGTGCAGAGGTATGTAAAAGCTGTAGAGAATATTAACTAACTTGACTATTCAGTCAGTTAGAGAATAAACGTGACTATTTCATTTATTATTTGCTTTGTTATCAATCATTTACAGGTCAACTTGCTCGACATAGATTTGAGGACTTGCGCAGAAAAGAAGCTGCTGCTTTAAAGATCCAGAGAGCTTTGCGGATATACTTTGATAGGCGGTCTTACAAAGAAGCTGTTGTTACAGTTCAGTCAGGTTTGCGCGGTATGGCTGCTCGTGATATACTACGGAGGAAGACTAAGGCCACAATTGTGATTCAGGTGGCAAAAACTTTTTTAATAGAGAAATTGATGGAAGAAAAGAGAATTTCTTTTCTTTTCTTTTCATCTTTGAGCTTTGCAGGCTTTTATCAAATTCCACCAAACTTCTACACTCTGATTTTATTTATTCACTGCATATACCAGATCCATTGCCTTAGATTCCTGGCCGAGTCGCACTACAAGAAGCTGAAGAAAGCAGCGATTACAACACAAAGTGCCTGGAGAGCGAGGTTAGCCCGTAAAGAACTGCGAGAGCTTAAGATGGTGAGATTTTCTACCTCTAGCTTCTGTCTGTTTTTGTTATGTTTCAGTTCTAGACATTTCACATGGAAATTGTAATACGTCGGATAACTATTGGTTTGTGATGAGGTTAAACAATGGGATTATTGCCCTTTCAATTTGATTGTTTTAAACACAGAGACAGAAGATGCTCGGTTTTCCACTAAATGAAAAACTGCAGCAATGATGCCTTCATATTTCCTGCAGGCTGCAAGGGAAACTGGAGCCCTTCAAGCTGCTAAGAGTAAGCTTGAGAAGCAAGTGGAAGAACTCACATGGAGACTGCAGTTAGAGAAACGCAAGAGGGTCTGATATAACGGCCCTTTATCTTTTTCAGTTTTCTACAGTTTTATTTCTAGAAACCTTTTTCTGGATGCTGATTGAACACATCCTTCACCTGTTATTGTGGCTTTGACGTTGTAGGTGGACGTGGAAGAAAGTAAAACACAAGAAAATTCAAAACTGCAAGTAGCATTGGAGGAAATACAAATCCAGTTCAAGGAAACCAAAGTGTCGCTCTTAAAGGAAGTGGAAGCTGCAAAAAAGACTGCGGTAACTGTTCCTGTAGTGAAGGAGGTTCCTGTTGTTGACACCGAGCTAATGGAGAAACTTCAGAGTGAAAATGAAAAACTCAAGGCAGGGAATTGTCTCTACTCTATTCTTCTTCTTCTTCTTCTTCTTTTTTTTTATTTTTTTTAACAAGAATTTCAAAGCTTTAGAAAACAAAGCAATGTTTGGATTTTCATTTCTCTTTCATATGCAGTCCATGGTAAGTTCGCTGGAGGAGAAGATTGATGAAACAGAGAAAAAATTCAAGGAGACAAACAAAATTAGTGAGGAGAGGCTGAAACAGGCTTTAGAAGCTGAAAACAAAATTGTTAATTTGAAGACCGCCTTGCACAAGTATTCACTATTGGTCTCTTAGCTATTGAATATCAACAGAGTTTTGGTAACTCACTGACAGTCAATATATGCGCTTTTTCTTCATTTGCAGACTCGAAGAGACATTAGAGGATGTGAAATATGAAAATCAACTTTTGAAGCAATCAGTCTTAAGCACACCTGTAAAGACAGCATCAGGACGTTTCCCTTCTACTCCAGTAAAGGTATATATATATCCAGAGAAACATTTGGATGACTACATCTGACTCTCTCAATCAATTTAATTACAATATTGCTCTTGTTCGTGCAGAACTTACAAAATGGCCACCATCCTAGCGAAGAAAATCAACTCAATGTAAATTATATCTTTGCTTTGTCGTCTACTTGTATCTGAAAATCTGCTCCATTTGTTTGTATATCCTTTAAATCCGTCTCTACAGGGAGCTGAGTTTACAACACCGACAAGGATACAAGAATCCGGATTTGACTCTAAGTCGAGGGGATCCCATATTGATCCTCAACATGTATGGTTTTTAGTTAAATTACTCGATTTTGTGCTTCCAGTCTTTAATATGTACCCTCTTTGGTTGAAGAGAGATTTTCTCTTTTTCTTGGTACAGGAGGATGTGGATGCCCTTATCAACTGTGTCACAAAAAATGTTGGATTTAGCCAGGGGAAGCCTGTAGCAGCATTTACCATCTACAAATGTCTTCTTCATTGGAAATCCTTTGAAGCAGAAAGAACCAATTTGTTTGATCGTCTTGTTCAAATGATTGGTTCTGCTATTAAGGTACTAAAAATGGAGGCTGTCTTGTCTACTTCCGTAAAACCCTTTTATTTTTATCTTTTTTTTTCTCAAAATTTAATGATCAGTTATTCTTACTACCAGAATGAAGATGACAACCCTAATTTGGCATATTGGTTATCCAATACTTCGACCCTATTGTTCATGCTCCAACAAAGTCTGAAATCTGGTGGAACCGGGGCCACTCCACTTCGAAAGTCACCTTCCTTGGTCCGATGGATGACCAAGGTATATATACTCTTGTGTTGATGAGTTTCTGCTAAAAAAAACTAAACAATCCTTTCTAAATCCTTATATTTTATTTGCCAGGGTTTCCGTTCTCCAGCGGCTGAAGCGATTCGACCAGTTGATGCCAAGGACCCAGCTTTGCATTTCAAGCAGCAGCTTGCAGCATATGTTGAAAAGATTACTGGAATTATTTGGGATAACCTGAAAAAGGAGTTGAACACCTTCCTTTCTCTCTGCATCCAGGTACTATGATCCACAATGCTTCTCTGCTTTCATATTGACTTTGTATCTATGTGTCGTGAGCTGACATGAGAGAATCTCTCTAGGCACCAAAATCATTTAAGGGAACTGCACTCTTATCTACAAGCACTGCTAAATACTGGCAAGGAATTATTGAAGGCTTAGATGCACTGCTAAGCACACTTGAAGAGAACTTTGTATGTGAAACTCATTTCCACTCACAGCTCTTATCTCTGTAAATGTCAAGAGATTCTTGTTGCTTATTCTTGTTACAGGTTCCTCCGGTTCTTATCCAGAAGATATTCTCTCAGGCTTTCTCACTCATCAATGCCCAACTATGTAATAGGTGAGAGATTGTTTATTGTCTATTATGGAATATGCATTTATGTGATAAGCAAACTTTTAAACGACTTCTTCTTTCTGATTTGCAGCCTTGTCACGCGGCCAGATAACTGCTCATTTATCAATGGAGAATATGTAAAATCTGGTTTAGAAAAATTAGAGAAATGGTGCTCCGAAACAAAAGAAGAGGTATTCCCAAGTATAGCCTTCTTTTTCTTCTGTTCTTATCGTAAATTGGTTTACACATAACAGAATGTCTCACCTATGTTACCCGTTTTTGATAGTATGTTGGCTCATGCTGGGAAGAACTCAAACATACCAGACAGGCAGTTGGATTCTTGGTATGTTTGTAAACTTGTTTTGAATTTCAGAAATAGAGTCTAAGCATATCGACTTTAACTTTACTTGAATCTATGTACAACAGCTCATCCATAAAAAATACCAAATCTCGTACGATGAGATTGCAAATGATCTGTGTCCAGTAAGTCTCTCTATCAGCCAACTCTTTTTTAGCTGATGAGCTTTGACTTTGTGGTTATGCTGACACCATTTTTCCTTCACTCAGATCCTTAGAATACAACAGCATTTCAAACTATGTACTCTGTACAAGGATGAAATCTACAACACAAAAAGTGTTTCGCAAGATGTAAGCTTTCTGGGGAAGTAGTTATCTGATTTTATCCTTTGCTCCTTGAGATCATTTGCTCTAGTAGTTTTGATGCTTGCTCATCGATCTAACAGGTCATCTCAAGCATGACAGGAGTTATGACAGACAGCAGCGACTTCTTGTTGAAAGATGATTCTAGGTAAATGTGCTTTGGATACTTCTTCTTAGTATAAAAGCTAAATTAGCTAATATAGGAAGAAGAAACTTTGAATCTCTTTTGCTGCTATGAATCAAATTCATGACCTTTTTTTCTTTATGGAAACTGAACCAACCCGTCCTTTTTGGCCTCGCGCAGCAACAGCATTTCCTTCTTGATCGATGACTTATCTAGTTCAATGCAAGATAAGGACTTTGCCCAAGTAAAACCTGCTGAGGAACTTCTTGAAAATCCAGCTTTCATTTTCTTGCAATAGTAAGTCAGGGAAACCAAAACTGCTCCCATTCAAGAACACCATCCAAAAACAGGAGAAAGAATCTCTGAGAAAACGGCGGTGAAGATATTTTTTTTTTTAGATTCGCCGATTTGTTTATTGTTTCCCATTGTATATCTCTATTCATCCCAGAGATTTTATAAAAGTAAATGTTGTTTTGCTGGGATTAAAACAAAATAGAGATTTTCTCTGTTCTTGTTGGTGTTGGGCAGTTTTTTCTTTCTCTTCTCCTCATTTTCCTAATGGGATCCAATAAATTTAGTTTGATATCTTTTAGTAGTTTCAAATTTCCTTTTTAAGATTAAATGCTGAAATCTATAAGTAGTTATGTTGGGTCTAAGAAGAAGTTGTCCCCATCCATATGTTATTGTTTGTACAAAAGAAAACAAGTTTTAATGGAAAATAAAAATCGACATGCTTTTATCTGTGTTTATTTTAATTTCCTCTACTGAATTATTTTAAAAGCGATATGCATATAAAAGAAAGTTGTTCACTCACACTCCAAGACTATAGTTGGCGATGAAATGAATGTCCTTGCGCGCCGAAAAAGACCGTTACAAGTTATAACCTTAACAGGCCTAAAGCTGGGCCACAAGAGAGCAATAGTATGGACCTTAAGGTAGGCCCACTAATATTTAGCAGATGAAGCCCAAACATCGTAAGAAGCTAGTGTTTGTTTGTGGAGTGGACATATGGCTTTATATCAGGCAAATGTTGTTCCTTTGTCTCATCTCTTTTTGCTCCTATCTCGATCGGTAATTAGTCATTAGGGGTCTGTTTCTGGAGAAATTTCTGAATCTCCGCCGTTTTGGTTCGATACAGATTCTGGGGTTTTGTTTTTTTTTTCGTTTTCTGTTTTTAATTTTTTTTTTGTTTTCCCCCTCAGAGCCTTAAAAACCCTAATTTGATACATTAGCTTAAGAACCTTCCAATCGATCCGTGTACATTTTTTAAAAAAAAAAGTTGGTATTTTTCGATTGATTTGACGAGTTTAAGAAGATGCCTCCAAAGCAACAACCGAAGGCCGATTTGGCGAAAAAGCAGAAACAAGTGGAAGACAAAACATTCGGGCTTAAAAACAAGAACAAGAGCAAGAATGTTCAGAAGTATGTTCAGAGTCTCAAGCAATCTGTTCAGCCTAAACCCGATGCGAGTAAAGCTGCAGCAAAGGTACCAGTGAATCTGTTTGATATCCTGAGATGGGTTTGTTTTGAGTTTCTTGCTGATTGGGAGTTAGTTCGCTTCTAGTGGAGTAGATTTTAATCTAATGAGTGAGGGATAATTTGTTGTTGTTGTTGAAACAATTATATGTATTAAGTAGCTGTTTTTTCGGTTGGATTCTTACAAAAGAAAATGGGGTTTTGTGTTTTGAGGACAGAAAAAAAAAGAGGAAGAGAAAGCGAGAGAACAGGAATTGAATGAGTTGTTCAAGGTAGCGATTAGTCAGCCGAAAGTTCCTGTAGGTATGTATGAAATATGCTCTGATGAAAATTGATTTTCCCTGTGATATGTGTTGTTGTTTCTCCTGTTTGGTTTGTTCACTCTGGTTTCCATGTGTTTATTGAATACTGTGGTTATGTTTCTTTGTAGGTGTGGATCCCAAGTCCATCCTGTGTGAGTTTTTCAAGGCTGGGCAGTGTCAAAAGGGATTCAAGTGCAAATTCTCTCATGATTTGAACATTCAAAGGAAGGGTGAGAAGATTGACATTTACAGCGATAAGCGTGATGAAGGTAAATGGGCTGAAGTGTGGCACAACGTACCTTATATTCGCTCCCTTTAACAATGGTCTTGTTGTTGCTTATTTATGTATATTTTATACTGATTTTAGATGGAAACATGGAGGAGTGGGATCAAGAGACCCTTGAAAAGGTTGTGGAATCAAAGAAAAATGAATATAACCAGAATAAGCCAACAGATATTGTAAGTTGCCTCTATCTCAACTTTGTTGTTTGGTGCTTGTTTGGGACATGTTGATTCAGGGCTTCTGGTTTCATAATATATATGCCTATCAGTAGAGTTTCTCTTGTTAATGCACTATGCGAAAGTCTGAAGTGATATTTGTACAAATTTTCAGCCATTAGTATGTGATGGCTACTCATGGATGTGCAAAGCGATACGTCAGTTTCAGTTGCGTTTGCTCTTTTTACTGTGATCAAGGTTTAGATGATATGGGGGTTTAGATTCACCTTATAATATGTTGCCTTAAGCTAATAGCATGGTTCATCTTAGGAACTATTTCACGTCCTTTTTTCCTCCCGTTGTTGTTCCTTGTTCCTTTCTCCTCCTTTGGATAATGCCTGACAAGAACTCATTCTTCTGGTGATGGTAGGGCTTTAAACGACATACTTTCAGCATATGACTGTTCCTGAACGAGAAAGTTAGCTAATTTCTATACTAAGAGAAGTCATAAATTGGCGTGTTAACTCAATGAAACATTTCTCATCAAATTAACCTAAGCAAGCGAGTTCACTGAGCTTGCCATGAGAGTTTTGAGCTACTAGAAATCTGCTGATTGGTTTTTCTTTGTGTGTCTACCGATGTATAATAGGTTTGCAAGTATTTTCTGGATGCGGTGGAAAAGAAACAGTATGGGTGGTTCTGGGCTTGCCCCAATGGTGGCAAAGAGTGTCACTACAGACACGCTCTTCCTCCTGGATATATCCTTAAATCTCAAATGAAGGCACTCTTGGAAGAGGAGTCACAAAAGATGCCAGTTGAAGAAGAAATTGAAAATGAGGTTTAACACTCTTCCAGTATTCCCAATCTGCTCATAGCTGCTAGGGCCCTCAACTCGGAAAAATTGTTTTCTTGTTCTGTGTTTCAGCGTGCAAAACTGAAAACTGCAACACAAATGACTCCTGCACTATTTATGGAATGGAAGAGGAAGAAAATAGCTGAGAGGGATGCGGGTTTGGCTGCGTCTCAAGCGGAGAGAGCTAAGAACGACCGCATGAGGTAAATCCCGTTCATCATTCTGTTGATTACCCACCTCTATTCTGTTTTCGTTAAGCTGATTCATTGTGTAATCTCAGTGGTCGGGAGCTGTTTCTGTCCAATGCAAGCTTGTTTGTGGATGATGCTGAGGCTTTTGAAGAATACCAGAGGGAAAAAGAAGAGGAAGAGATTGAACAGAAGGTGAATTCTCTCTCTCTCTCTCTCTCTCTCTCATCTCCTTATAAACCGACCGAGTCATGATGTTAATGGAATCTTGAGTTTTTGTTTCTTAGGCAAAGAACAAAGAAACAGAGGCAGGGACAAGCAAGAGTAGTGGTGATGCTGAACAGAGCTCGAAGGAAGTCGATGAAGATGACGATGATGATGATGATTTAGACATGGATGAGCTTGATGAATTGGAAGCAAGCTTGTCGAAAACATCGATTCAGATTCGTGAGCCAAGCAATGAAAATTCATCTTGAGATGGAAATATCTGTGGAGAGAGAGCACATGTTTTGCTTTTGTGTACTTTCGATAGATTGGATTTTGAAGACACAAGAAACCTATTTCAGGTTTTGGAATAATCTGTTACTGTCTTAAAGATCTTAATGTCTCATCAGTGACTTGTAGTGTCTTATCTTTTCTTTTTCTTTATTCTTCTTAATGTTAATCTTCTATCCTCGTTATACATTATATTATATGCGAAAAAGGTCCCTAAGATAAGCTGAAATGTGTACAAAATGATACTTTCTTCTTCTTCGTCTTCTTGAAGAGCATGTAAGGATTCAACTAGTTTTTTGTTTGTTCACTTCAGACTAACATATGGGTAATAACGTGTACGAATAATATAATTCACAGGTATAAAAAACTACTATATATCTCAACTATAAAATTAATTAAAATATTTACCCGGTCGTCTCTTTAATAACTTAAGATGAAAGAGCGGAGAAGAGAAATCGGAATTTATTTTCTGGAGGACAAATCAGAGAGAATTAGAAAAAAAAGAAAAGAAAAGAAGTCGCCATGGTTGCCGCATCAGCCAACCTCGCGAACCTGAGATCGACGTCGCTATTTTCAAATCGGCCACTCTCTATCTCCATGTTAAGCGGAATCAGAAACTCTTTCATGTTACCCTTCAGGAACTGTCTTAAGCCCACACCTCTCCGACTCGCGTCGTGGCCACCGCACGGTTCTTCTGTTGTTAGGGCCATGTCTTCTTCTTCTTCCTTCGGATCGACACTGGAGGAGAGCGTTAAATCGACGGTGGCAGAAAACCCCGTCGTCGTTTACTCCAAATCCTGGTGCTCGTAGGTTCACTCCTCTCATACTATTCTTCTCTAAATCACTATGCATTTGTTCAATTGAAGACGGGGTTTAGTTTTTTTTGTTTGTTTGTTTGTTTGGTGAAGATACTCCTCTGAAGTGAAGAACTTGTTCAAGAGCCTTCAAGTTAAGCCACTGGTTGTTGAATTGGATGAACTTGGTATGCTTTCTACGCTGATTTCTCTATATGGGTCTGATTAGTTTGCTAAATTTTGTTTTGATTATTATTGTCTTGATTGATCAAGGTAAACGCGTGGTAGAAAGTTTTTTGTTGTTTCAGCATTTAGACTGGATCTAGTAGTAGATATGATTCTTCTTTGTCTTCCGATTTGATTTTTTTTTTTTTTTTTGTGTTTTGTTTTTGGTTGTTTAAATTGAATTGGTTTGTTGTATGTTGATCTAGTAGTTATGCTTAGAGGAGTTTGTTATGGCCCGGATTGGCTTCTTTACACTTTGGATATGACTGTGATTTGTTTCTTTACTAGGACCTTAGTTTTTTCTTGGACAATATATGAGGAATCACAGTTAATGGATTTCTAGTGGCTTCAACCTTACTTGCCAGTTGCCACCCTTTTGATCCTAGGCAGTATGCTTCTTCTGTTTCTCAAGTAATCTTATGACTTGTCAAGATTTTGTTGACTCTCCGGATGTTATCCTATTTATGTTTTATGGCCAAACCATTTTCTGCCTTATGGTATCGGTCCGGAACATTTGAGTTTCGATTATGTTACGAATGTTTTGGTGTTTTTTGGCGACAAATTTCCAGGTCCGGAGGGGTCGCAGCTGCAGAATGTGTTGGAGAGACTTACTGGACAATACACTGTTCCCAATGTTTTCATCGGTTAGTTGTTACATCGTTTGCATCAGTTACCAACTATACTCTGATAGTTTTTTCTTGATTCTTTGCCTGAAAACAGAACATTTCTTAAACACTAAATGTGCAATGAAATCTTCGTCGCTGCACATTGACAAATCTAATTGTATATCATGTTTTTGTTCATGACCAGGAGGAAAGCACATTGGTGGCTGCTCAGGTACACTCTCTCTTCCTCTCTTACCTCAAGATCCTAGTTTTTTTTTTTTAATCTCGGAATGTTAATAAGATCATGTGTGTATTGGCACCAAGATCTTGCTTAATCTTGACCTCCATATCTCTATTGTTGAACAGATACACTGCAGCTGTACAATAGGGGTGAGCTGGAGCCAATGATAGCTGAAGCCAGTGGAAAAACCGGTCAGACTTAGCGAGGTTTAGAGATGAAACACTGCAAGTTGGAGTTCATGTTTCCTTCTTGTTTAATCCGCGAACCTCTTGGATAAAAAATGATATTGAAGTCGAGATGATATGGCGATTCAAAGTTACAGTCCTATATAGTGACTTGATAAGAATCTTTTGTGTTTCTTTCCATGTAAGCCAACGCAATAGACAAAGTCATGCCGGTTTTTGTTAATAAACCGCAGTTGCTGATCCATCATTATTCACAACTTGGAATTTGCTATCAACTTTGAGATTGTGAAAGGGAAAGATGAATTGTTGGTAAACGTTTTGGTACATACGGTTTGGTTCAAGATTACAAACAGACGAACCGGTTAATAGATAAACCAAATCTCTCATTTTACTTCCTCGATCTCGTCCAATGCGTAGTTGTTGGTCGATATATTCGCGTAATTCACCTTTGAGAACCGGACCACAACCGGATACCTGGTCTTCGGGTCCTGTCGATTTAAACCGGAATATAAGATGAAACGAAATCTAACCGTTGGATCGTTAACTCGGAAAGTAGAGGCATTACCTGATCAACGGCCACGACTGATCCGACGTTCTTGTACCAGTAGGATTCTTTCCTTAGAATCTTGACCTGCCAGTCCCCCAAAATTTCATTCAAGTTTCACTAAAACTCTTAAAAATGTTCTAAATAGACCAAGAACTTATTTGCAGACACTTGTTTCTTGTACTATAGGATTCAAATTTTCAAAAGTCTCACATTAACCCCATAATTATTAAACGTATCAAAATAGACCCAAGAACTTATACCAGCTACATGAACTAGGATGCATAAACATGCATCATAGATTATACAGATTCTATGTATAATAGCTGCACCGATTGATATGTTCATATGTATATGAGGAATAGCTGACCTTAGAACCTCTCTTGGGCCCAATCGGAGGAGGTTTAGCCTTTGCGGCCGGAGCTTCCGCCGGAGCAGCAGCGGCGGTGGTCGAAGAACCCTCCGAAGAGGCAGTTGTCGGAGATGATTCCTCAGCCGCTCTGACTACTAGCCTCGAACCGAAGCTTCTCATCGGCAAGAAAGATACGGCGGCGATCTTTGAAGACGCCGAAGAACCGCCGCCTACAGCCGCAGTGACGTTGGCCGTCAGGATAAATCCGGTAGCTGCTGACGTCATCGCCATCTGTGTGATTTTGGGGGATTTTGTTGGTTGTGTGATCCAAAAGGCTAAAGAAAAAAAAGGAAATGAGGACAAAGCTCGAGATGTGTTTGGGGTTAAAACGAATCGTTTTCACCCACTTGTGATATGACACGTGTGATTACATCTGGGTTCTTCAAGATAATGCAATGACGTGGCAACCTTAAAATGAAAATTTAATTATTTTCAGCAAAAAAAACCTATTTTATGACGAGAGAACCTTTGTATATTATTTAGGGTTGCCTTGCCGCCAAATTGCATTTGAAAAATCTTATGAACCGCCATGGAAGCGTGAAATTTCTCCTCCATCCATCGTCGCCTTCGAGTGATTTCAATAATCTGTGATGAGAAGACGGAATCACCGAACGAAAGCGACCGAAACCCTAAAGAAGAACGATCCGCAATTTGGGTTCACGAATCCTGATCCTTCGAGCTCTTCAGGTATTTTAATCCTCGATTTCGTTCCCGTGGGTGTGTATTCATGTGTGTGTGTTTTTATTGAATTTTCCTTCATTTTGGATTAGATTCGAAACGCAGGAGAAGCGTGACTTTCGTCAATGTTGATCATCGGAGTCCCTTGAACGATTCCCCAGAAGCTCAAACCGGTCGATGTTAGTTCGTGTCTCGCCTAGATTCATATGTAATCCCGAATAAGCTCAGATTTGGAATGTTGAATTTGACTATCATTTGCAGCGCTTGATGCCAAGACCTCGGAGTTTGCGTTCTTTAAGAAGTTAAAGTCTGATTTTGGTATCTGCTCTGAATCTTCTGGCTCCAAGCCATCGAATAAAGTCAGTCAAATTCCGAAAACCTTCGAATCCAGAAGCAAACGAGGAGGTAAAATCCACAATGCTTTGGGGTTTTTTTTATCTCTTCTTGTGATGATGATGATAGTCGTGTCTGCTTGGCTTTCCCCTGGATTTTCACGTCTACCGGTTTTGAAAAAACCAGAATATGCAGGAACAGACCACGAAGCTAAAGATAGATGCAATAGTTATAGCTTCTCAACACCCATTCACAAAGCAAGACGTGGTTCATGTGGCTTGTCTATGTCACCTGTCAACTTGACTCGAAAGGATAAAGGTCCTTCCTTTGATTTCTTGGTGCCAGATGATATGCTCTCTTGTCTATCAGGATAGATGCTAATAGTTCTGTAGAATCTATTTTTTGTTTTTGTTTTTCTTAGAGAAAGATCCTGGGAAATCTTCTTCTGGATTCAGTAGAGATAAGGACACAGTTCGAGGTGGTAACAACCTGAGATGCGGAGGTAGTTTTTGGATATCCTATGTCTTAGATTCATCTATAATACAAAGAAACATGATTATGTAGTTCGAATTATCAGGAAGCAGTGATGAGAAAGGAGACTTATTCTCTTCGAAGAGGAAGAGACTGAATCAGTGGGTCAAAGATACATGGTCTACTGAGCTTACCTCAAACGGGTACACAATTAGTCTAATTTATTTCGATCTCTGTATTGGCTTCTATAATGTGCTCAGAAGAAAAACATTTTTCAGGCACGATTTAGTTTCTGTTCTCCTAACTCGGCTGTTCCCTGGTACGGAGGAGACTCATGTAAGCTAGATAGAATCCCCGGGTACTTGTCAATTGTTTTATCTCGATCAATCCTAAGCACTTTCTATCTCCTCTCAGCCTTCTAGGTTTTCCAAGGAGAGGACGGATAGAGTGAAAAGAAGAAGAACGTTTCTTGATTCTCCTGGATCAAAGTTTCTCAAGAAGTCCCATGAAAGCTGTACAGAATTTGACCACAGTCTGAAAATGGAAAGGGCCAGATCGATCTCTTGGCATGGGTTGCTGGAAAATAGCATTCCACCAAGTCTGCAGTTTGAAATAGATCATGTTCACAGCAGTTCCATCTTAAGAGATCCGGAAGACATTCGATATTCCATCTCATATCCTAAGGAATTGGTTTACAGACCTTCATTGTTGACACAGAAGGCATCACTGTCCTTTCCCGTTGAAAAAACTCTGGGCTGTTCTCCAATGTCTAGCCTTCATTTCAGAAAATACAAGCCTCTTTCACTGGGTTATCACAGAGAAGAAAGTGGGTTCAGCTCAGAGGACTTATCACTTGATCAAAGAGAGCCTTCCTCTGCATTACTTCTCGAGTGGAATACTGAAACGGCAAGCACCAGAAAGACAGATGATTTGCCACTGAGTCATCACACAAAACTCATCACATATCCAAATGCACCATCCTCATCTTTGACTGATAATCCATGGAGCTCTGACTATTCTTCGTCCCATGATCTGGTTACAAAAGAGCTGTACCCTTTACCTCTGCTCTCTCATTACACTTCAGGCAGTTTCCTATCACCACCAACGAGCCGTTTTGAGCATGAATTTGAGAGGCATATTATTGATGACGAAGATTTTGTAGCTGCAAACCAGAATCTCCAGACATTTCATCACACAAATAGCTCAGACTACACATACAATCATAATCTTTCTAACCCACCAGTGGATCATTTCCCGTTTGAAGTCCTTGGATGTGAAATAGAATCCTTTCGATTTTCCAGCATCAGCAATTCAAATCTGCTGGAAGCGTCTAGTCCTACACAAAGCGATCATTTTGAATCCCATGATCTAATACCCTTTAGTTTTCAGTCACCTCAACCTTGGATTGATTCATAGAAGTAAAACCCCTTGTGGTAGCTATGTGCTTAAGAAGGCAGCTGAAGAACAATTCAAACCGAGTTTTGCCACAGGTCAGTAACTCTCTTACCACATTTTTGTCATGTCGTTGTTTCTACATTCGTTTAGATAACACATTTAAGTTCAGAGGACACAAGAATCAATGATTTTAGATCTTGTCCTAACCACGTTACTGATGAATTGATTGAAGGAGATGTCGATTGATATATAATTCGATCCTGACATAGACTGATATATGGTTGAGATTGTAAATGATCTCTAATCCTGAGTTATTCATGGGGACATTAGTAATTGGTCACCATTCTTTGACAAGTTCTTTGTTTCCGTCTTCTTTTTCGATCCACCTCTTGGACCCTTCTCAACTACCAAAGTCGTTGAAGCTCGTTCTCTAAAATGAAAATCACTAACTAGATTGAGAAAGCTAGAATTAAGGAAACAATGAATTATAGAAGGAATGTAACATGTTATTGCAGATATATATAGTTGGTCTTAAGCTTAAATCAAAATGTTTCTCGAGTTTCATATGTTTCTTGCTTTTTTCAAAATTGTTAAGACATTTAAACCATCTTTAATGTATATATATTTGTCACAACAATCTTTAATGTCTTTCACCCAGAAAACACAACACAACAATATTTAATGTTTCAAATTAATGGCAATGCATTAAAACAATTGTATTTTAGAAATTGTAAGCACACCAAAAACAGCTAGTTTCTTAATCCTACTTCGTATGCAACTTCTTAATATAAATTGTAAGCACATCTTCCTGATCCTAATCAGTTGATTTATATTGACTGATTTACTAAATATGCTCATAATTTCCATAAATACAAACACCTATAATAACCAAACAAAGGGTTAGTTTGGCCAGACAAGCGGACATAAAACTTGTTCAAAAAGTTAGTTCGTAGTTAATGCAATGTAACCGAAATTCTAAGAACCGGTTGAAAAAGTTGAAAGTTTGATGGTTTGGTTATGAGAGCCGGTTCATGATATGAAGTCTTAACAAGAGAAACGTTGGAAATGTGGTCTACAAGGCCATTGGATGTTTTAGTTTGGGATAGGTTTGGTTATACGTTATAGAAAGGGATATAAGGAAATGCTCAAAGACGGTCAATAAAATTAAAACTCAATTATCAAAATGATTGCATCTCAATGTGATTTTCTTTTTGTTGGATACATTCGGATAAGAAAAAAGACATTAAGAGCATAAGTTGGTTGGTTCATTTAAAATATTCCTGGTCCCAATTATATTGGGTATATGAAATACATATTAGAGTAGATTATCATTATTCTCTTATACTTGCTTGACTATATATATGATAAAACAGATAACATGCTATTTTTTTTTTTATCGACTCTTGCCTTGAATCATTTATTAGCAACTGCAATATTTCATACAATGCCAAATTTTCTTCTAAATTTATTCTTCGTGTATGAGAGAAAAATATATAGAATTGAATAACACAAAAATTAGGAGGAAATTCTTAATTTACCATTTTTCTTGTCCTGTTATACAAATCCACAGCTAAAAGTTTAAAAATTCAAATTAGTACAGGTTTGATGAATGATTTTGATGAATAATTTTGTACGGAAAAATGCAAAAAATGTTATATTTCAACAATAAATTATATGTTTTATTGGTTTTTTTTCTTTAAAAACTGTTTATAAATTTTGATTGTCTTATAAAATTTTAGTTTCATTTTTAATTTTTTAAACAAATATAAATAATATATTAAAAAAAATTAGATGCGGGCATCTAAATTAATTGGTCCGGCCTTATTATTAAAAACTAACTTCAATTAAAATATGTATATACAAGTAATAATTATAAAAAAAACGAATATGTATGTAATTATCAACACAAACTTTATTTTTATACGTCAAAACACAAACTTTATTTAATAAAATTACAAAGGCGAAGCCATGAAATGTCATTTGCAGCTTTCCCTCTAATAAAAGGCCCTTTTGTATCAGAAGACGTCACCCCCAAATAGCTGCGACTGTTAGATTCACTCAGCGAAAAACTTTTCCGGCGAAGGTAACACCACGGCGGCGTATAAACCGGCGGAGCTTGGAGATGTTTCTAATTCCAGCTACCTTCTAGCAGGTCTCTCTCTCTCACTCTATCTTTTCTCTCTCTCTCTCACACACTGAGTAAAGCAGAACATATCTGAGACTTAAAGCTCCGATCTCACTTTCCGATGCTTTGAATCCCTTTTATTGTTGCTCGTTCGGAGCTTCTTCTTTACATGGTCCAGTTGATTTACGTATCCCTTACTTTTTCGATTCTTGGCGAACGAATTTGATTCACATATTCACGAGCTCGTCTAGAGTTTATATAGTGTGGAAGTTATTCCACTGATTTTCAGTTTCATGATGCCGAAATCTGGGAAATGCAGATTCAGCGAGGCCTGGGATTTTGCGATTTTGAGATCACACTGAAGCTAAATCTTCATCTGTCTCTTGTGCACAGAGGCTATGTCCGATTTAAGGAGAGCCAAGGAGACAAGTGTATCTACGAGAAAACTCATTGCTAGAGAAATGTCGAAAGAGGTTGAAGATAGACAGAGTTCTTCTAGTAATGTGGTTGCTAAATTAATGGGTCTAGAGACAGATGAACCACGGAGCAGATCCAGAAGCTCTTCACGCTGTTCGTTGAGTTCTGTGGATAATCTGCACCATGGAGAATTCGAAGATGGATATGAAATCTGGGAGTCTATGAACCTTTCAAGAAAAGGAAAGTTTGATGGAAGCATGAGTAGTGATAAACCGTTGGATCTTGTTCGTCGAAATTTCATGGAAGCGAAACGCTTGGTAACCGATGACAAGCTTCACAGGTCCAAGGAGTTCCAAGAGGCTCTTGAGGTTTTGAGTTCCAACAAAGATTTATTCGTTAAGTTTCTCCAGGAATCAAATTCTTTGTTTTCTCAGCATCTTTCTGAATTCCGGCATGTTCCTCCTCATCCAGAGGCTACGCGCATTACGGTGTTGAGACCTGCAAAGACCGTTGATGCTCAGAAATGTGTGGTTCAAGATAGCAGGAGCAAGCAGATTAAGAAATCAGCTTCTTCGAATCAGGAAACTGGATGGATCGATGCTGCGCAGCCAACTCGAATAGTTGTCTTGAAGCCTAGTCCAGGGAAGGCTCTAGATATAAAGGCTATTGCTTCTTCATCACTTCCTTCCTATTTTGATGAGTCTGGAGACGCTGAGACTAGACAAGTTGCAAAGGAAATTACACGTCAAATACGTGAAACTTTTAGGGGACACTGCAGGAACGAGACTCTTTCTTCTTCTTCTTCTTCTTCTTCTTCTGGTTCTTCTGTCTTGTCCAAGGCTTATATCGGTGATGATGGTTCGTTAAACAGGTCGAATAACGAATATCCAGTGGGGAACATTAGCAACTCTGAGACCATGTCACCATCCTTTAGGCATTCATGGGACTGTGCGAATAGGATTGAGAGTCCTTTAGCTTCTTCTTTGTTCAGCCGAGCCTCGTTTTCTCCAGAGTCATCTGTCTACAGAGAGGCAAAGAAACGGCTTTCTGAGAGATGGGCAATGATGTCACTAAACGGAGACACACAGCAACAAAAAAACTTCCCAAAGGCCTCAACCGCCTTAGGCGATATGCTTGCACTCTCAGAAACGAAAGCAAAACAAGAATCGAGAAGATCAATATCATGTATAGGCAGTGGTCTAGATCAAGTAGAAAGCGCAAGCGATTCTTTGAATACCCTTGAAAGGTCAAAATCAGTCCCTGAGATTAGACTCAGTGGTGGAACGTCTGTTTCAGGGACTTCAAGAGCACAAGCTCACGGAGAGCTTACCGAGTCAAGAAGCTTGAAATCATCATGGAAAGTTTCAAGCTTTTTCTTCTTCAGAAATAAGAAAGCACACAAGGAGAAGACAGATGTTCTGTCTAAATTGGCTATGCCCACTGATGCATTACAACGACAAAGTATTTTTACAAGCAAGGTATGTGAAACTTGTTGTGAGTTTGAGAATGCTCGGTAATCATTCTTATTTTAACCATCCGCCATTTATTTGTATGCAGGGAGAAGTGACTGCACCGAACGAAAACCAAGACCAGCCGAGTCCGGTTTCGGTTTTACAGCAGCCTTTCGAAGAGGAATATGTGGGAAGATCAGAACGTTCGGGGTCAAAAAAGCCATGGACCAGTCAAGGTTAGTTTACATCTCTCTGCTGTTAAACTCTGTATAAGAGAGTTGTTATATCGATTGTAATACTTTGCTACTACTGTCACTTGTCACAGGAGAAGAAATGTCTCTGAAATCTAGTCTAATCGACAAATCACCTCCAATCGAATCAATCGCTCGGGTTTTCTCATGGGAAGATGAGTCATACATAACTAAACCCGCAACGGGAATCAAGGAAGAGGAAGACTGGTATTACTTGATCAAAACACTCTTAAAAGCGTCCGGTTTCAGGGGCAGTGATCCGCTTATGACTCGGTGGCACTCACCGGATTGCCCTTTGGACCCATCATTAAGAGACACATTTGCCAACAAAGAACTCGTCAAACGCAGGAAACAGCGGTCAAACCGCAAGCTTGTGTTTGACTGCGTCAATGCCATCATAACAGAGACAACATCAGCAGCAGCAGGCGCGGAGACCTCGGGATTTGACATGCTGGAACATGTTTGGACAGAGTTAAAGGACTTGGCGGTTCAGGACTCTAACAGCTTGGAAGGAGAAAGTGTGTTGAGGGACGAGGTTGTCGGAAAAATGTGGAGTCGTAATTCGCAAGCCGAAGTGAACAACTTGGGGATTGAAATTGAAGTGATGTTGTTGCAAGAGCTTGTTCAAGAGGCAGTCTTCGATCTTACTCGATGAAACAATGTATATAATTTAGTAGTCAACAAGTGTTTTGTTTTCATGAAACATATATATATCATCATAGATGAAATAGTTTAACCAAGACTATACATTTACATCCTTTTCGGATGCCCAATTCAGATAGTTAAATTCAGATTTTTTTTCTTTTTCATTTTTTCATTTTGATTGTGTATGAAAGGAAAAAACTCTATAGTTGAAATGCCAATTTTAAAATGTTGTTTGGAGAAGAAAGGATTCTACAAGCAAACACACAAATAGAGATGCAAATGCGGTTCGTGTGAGACACAAAACGGCATTGTTTTCGGGTTAAATATCTATGCACACTCAGAGAAGTTACAGAGAGCAAAACATAGAGAAAAGAGCTTGACAGAGAGTATATGGACGCATGGAGTTTCAGAATCATGTTTATTTGGCTTCATCAGCCTTTCGGGTTCACCGCCTGGCTTTGGTTCAATCCATACTGCAAAAATAAAATTAAGCAATCAACAACAGATTCACAAGCCAAATCTGATATATGTAACGCATCAAGAAACTGGAGAAATGATCAAGCATTATACCTTTTCCCTGATTCGAGAGCTCCAGTTTTCAATCTTGCTTGGCCCAGCAGACGCTTGGTTTCCTTGCGAACCAAGAAGTGGGTCCCAAGCTCTACTCCTCGGGTTCTCATAGTCTTCCTCATCGTCAAGCTCGGGTCTCCCGGGAGAAACCATAGCTCTGAGAACCATGGCTAGTAGCAGTGACAGCAGCTGGAAAAAAACAGGAGTCGCGTGTTTTACAATTATAGAAACGCAAGAAAAGATTCGTGAAAGTTTGAATCTTTAAACTCTAAACTCTCTCTCTCTCTCTCTCTCTCTCTCTCTCTCTAAAGAGTAAAGAGAATAGATGTATATTATCATGAAATGCTCAAAGTTAAAAAAAGAAGTGATCTGAGTTTTACCTGGACCGCTACCACAGCAATCCCGACCCATTTGCATATATCGATGTTTTCCTCAATGAATACTCGAAGACTATTGAGTTCTCCAGTTGGATCATACGGAAGATCCTACGGAACACAAGACTTTAAACAGTTTCAAACAAGCCAAGAACACAAGAAACAAGATTCGAATATATAAGGAAGGAAGATCTCACCTTTTCCCAGTGACGGTCAATAGCGATGAATGCTACAAGGGCGGCTTCAAGTAGAATGAGCAGAGTTTTGAGAATAGAGTACTTTAAAACCGTCAAGGGAAAAAAACGAAATTAACCGATTCCAATAAACCGTAATGATAAACTCGATAGATTAACACACAAGATAGGAAAAGTGGAGCAAGGTTTCTGTAAAAGGATACGAAACACAAGCAACAGCCATTGATAGCTTCAGCAGCTATGAAACCAATTATGGTAACAATGCAGACCAAAATACCAACCGCCATAAAAGAGTAGATGAACCTGCATAAACAAAGGGCAGAAGAAACAGACAGGGGTTTTACTTAAACTGAGAGAAGAGGATCCAAACGTAATAATCCTAATGCTAAATTTAAGAATACAAGAGTTCCTTCAGCATCAAAATGTAGCTGAGCTGAAAAAGAAGTCATCTTCACGCATTGAAAGCTTGCCCTTATGTTCATCTACTTCATTACTCATTAGTAAAAGACCAAATTTGAAGAATTAACAAGCAATCCCCCAGAGACTAAAACCCAACACTTGATCCACGGCCACTCCACACCAAGATCCACCTGAGTTAACATGAATCTAACTAAAGCCCTAAAATTTTGAAACTGTTTTTAGGTAAAAGCCCTAAAATTGGAAACTTAAAAAAAGTGAATTAACATGAATCTAAGTCGAAACCCTGAAACTGAAAAGAAATACACTGAATACAATAGTACCATGGAGCAGGAAGGTCCAACGAACGGAGGTTAAACCCACTAGACCCAACAACGAAGCTTGCCGTGAGATCAACAGGATTCTTCAACGACGGTGGAGGGTCGACGGGTACGTGACGGTGGTATTGATCGAGCATCCATATGGAGTAGATTATGATGGAAACACCGAAGAAAGCTTGTACAAAATTGAGGATCTTGAGAGTGGAAGCGAACGATACATGGCAGCAATTACGCCGCATTTCTGGATTTTAGCAATATTATTGAGGGATAAGGTAGAGATTAATCCGCAAGCTCTTTCAATCAATCAATGGCCTTCTTGCCTGTAAAGGTGTCTCCTTTTCTTTTTCTTTTTTTTTTTCTTTTTTGGTTTTCTTATAAATATTATTTCGTTTTCATTAGTCGTCGCCTGCAGATAGCAACATTTTTGCTTAAGTACAAATAGTTAAACCGGTCTGATGATGTGTTGTAAACTTGTAATCGATTTGTAATTTGTTTCGCTCTTATCTGCTGACTTGTTTTTTTTTTTAATTTCTTGGATACTTTTTTGTTTTTGTCTTTTTATTTTTTTATTTTTTTACTCTTTTTTTTTTTTGATGGTGTATGTACGTAAGAATTAGGTTCGAATAATCCTTACAAATTACAGTTGTTGAAAATGTGTATATTCATCCTTTTGAAGAATAATATAAACTTTCCGCGCTGATATAATTTTCTAGTTAATTGTTTTAAAATTTAATAATATTTTGGATTCATTTTTTATTCTATATTGTTGAATATATTTATTTGCTAAATTTTTTTGTATTTTAATGTTTGAAAACATGATCGTAAAAACAATATAAAAGAGACTAAATAAAAATATATTAGTATCCAACAAATTTAGTTTAAATAGTTTTGAGATTTTTTAATTACTGTTTTATGTATTGTAGATGTAGTTTTGTAAATTTTTTGTACGAGCTTACTCAAAAAAAAGGAAGAAGTTTAACAATAAGGGTGTAAGAAAATTAGAGAGAAGTCGTATATATTTATACTAAAATTTTTGAAGTCAAAAACTCTAATCTAAACATCATAAATACTGTCATTCATTAGATATTCATTTTTTTTTTACTTTGTTATTAGATTTGACTAAATATCGGTTAAATTTGAAAAACGGTTTGATTGATAATATAATGTGAAATTGTAAACCACAATAATTTAAAGTGGTATGTTTTAAGTTATTTTATCACATTGTCGAATTAAAACTAATTAAAGATGATATGTAACTAAAAAATAAGGTTAAAAATTCTTTTATAGTCGAAAATTATTGTAAAATTGACACGTCATTGACAAATCATAAGTATTTAGATTAATAACGTTAATTGGTATTTTTTTCTAGCCCAACAATTAAGCTCATTGGGCCATACTAATGGATTGTTTTGTACGTCCGGCCCATCATTAAGAGAGAATCACGGAGTTTCAAAGAAACAGCGAGAGAGCAGCGTAAGAGTGAGGATGACGAAAGCTCCATCTCTTGCGTTTCTCTGCATCAAAGCCCTCAAACTTGTGCTCCTTCAAAGTAATTGGAGATGCTATTTTCATCCAATTCCCAATTTGGTTCTGCTCTGATTTGAGTTGGGCTTTGGTGTATTCTCAGGCGATAATCCAGTTCCGGATGTGTACGAGCTTCCATCGGAGTTGCTTGATGGTGTTATCGCTCACTTGCCTGCACTTGCGTTACAGAATTTCCAGACCCACATGTGAGTACTATTGCCTAATCGGACTTTTGTTTAGTTTGATTCGATTTTCGGTCACTTTCTGATGAACTTTGATTAAGATTTTTGGGGTTATGAATTCGATGGGTTGAAAGATGAATCGATATATACATTATTTGTTCTTTTCCATTTCCTGGAGAAAAATTGTATAGGCCGTTCAACTGCTGGGATGATTACGAATCTGGTGATGATTGCTTGACTAGTTGCTGGAGAAAACGCTCAAGGTTCGTTTTTTTTTTTTTGGTTTTTTTGGTTATTCCAACTGAGAAGAGATTGAAACTGCAGAAACGATGTACTCGGTCACTCCTGGAAGGTTCTGTTTAAGCTGCGGTGGCCTGAGCTCATCGACCTCGTGGAACCACCAACTGACTGGCAACAGCTATACTGGGAAAAGCATCTGCAAAAGTGAAATAACCCATCATGATTTATTTGTTTGCTTTTCTTTTCTTTTCCTTCCTTTTGATTTTTTGCTGTTAATCCGAGTTACAGTTGTGTTGATGAAGCAGCTGAGGTAGCTATGCGTCCGTGTTTTACTGGCCGGATAAGTTCCATTAATGTCTCAGGTGCGTGCTCTAGTCTTGAGACTGATTCGTCAGTTGCGTAAGACTCACTATTCAGCTTGTTTTTTTTTTCCCTGTTGCAGATAAGATATTGAGATACATTTGCCATGAAGAGCACACGGATTTTCAGAAATGTGTCTGCGCGGAACTATCTTTTCATCTCCTGACATTTGGACCGTATCTTAGGTTGAATTACATTTTCTGTTTGTCTGATGATTAGTCATTTCATATCCTCACGCATTCTTTGTGTTTAGGGCCTCACTCTATATTACTTTCAGCTTGCCTAAGTTTTATATGTTGCTTCTTTGTCTTTGTTCTTACCCTTTGGAGGTGCCTGAGGCTTCTGAATGTGCTCTGCGTTACAGAAACTTGTGTAAGTAACTAGAATAATGCTTCTGAGGTTTTGATTGTAAAATAGAGTCATCTTTGCTTTATTTTTGTTTTAGTATCACTGGTCGAGGCGCTATTTTATTTTGTTTTAGATGCCTATCTTTCTCTTGGAACTTCAAATTTGCATCTTTTTAGATACATCAATCATTTTACCTTGAGAGTAAGGAGTACAGAAATAATGTTTAGGTTTCGTTACTGTAGGAGTTACTGAGGACAAGCAAATTGCATACTTTGGATTTACGGTTGATCAGGTCTGAGAAACATGTAAGGCAATTTCACTACGTAGTTGCATCTGTTTATTAGCTGGAATCATATTCCTGATGATCCATGATACGACAGGTTGAGCCCTTGTGCAAGCTCTTGATCCAGAGCCGAGAAACATTAACTTCACTTGAATTTATTCACTGTAAGCTCTCCTCGAGTTTCATCAGTGCAATCTGCGCTTCTCTTCATGAAAAGGACATTCACACAAATGGGATTCAACGTTTCTGTATAAAGACATCTAGCATTGACATAGATCCACTTTCCGCGCCTTCCGATTTCATTTCATTCCTTAATTCGGTGAGGTAGACATATGAACTGATGCCAAAGCGTGTCTTTGTGAAGTATTTGCTCATTTGGTTGTCAAAGTCTCTTTTTTTATATAGTCTTTGTCCTTTCATTATGCACTTTTTTTTTCTTTCAGGTCCTTGCATTCTTTACAATTTTGCGATAGTCACCTCGATCAGCATATCGCGAGGATGGTTTTCTCCACACTTCTTGATTCATCCTCAAATCTTTCGTCCCTTGACCTCTCTGAAAACAACGTGGGTACCACCGTGGTTCTTCTTGTTCAAACTGATATATGGTTTTCTTTTCATGGCTGAACAACATAGAATATATAGATTTCAGGATGGCTTTCCACTTTCAGCTGGAGATCTGTTGTTGGTTCTCTGTCATCTGGAAAGTCTTTACAGTCGCTGTGCAAGCTTAACCTAAGGTATTGTTTGGGAAAGGGATATTTGTTACTGTTTTAAGCCTCGAAACCTTGTGAAACTGTTGGAAATGTGTTTCTAGGGGGAATGAGCTTGACAAATACGATGCAGAGAATCTTGCGCATGCTCTTCGTCATATGCCCAGGTTGGAATCTCTTGACCTGAGCGGGAACCCCATTGAGGACGGTGGGATCAGGTTTATCCTCTTAAGTTCCTGCATTTGCAATCTTGGATAAATTCAACAGAATAACATTTCTCTTGCGTGCTTTTATTGAGTGGTACAGAAGCTTAATATCTTACTTCACAAAGAATCCGGATTCTCCTTTAGCCGATTTGAACTTGGAGAACTGTGAGCTATCATGTTGTGGAGTTATCGAGTTTCTTGATACCCTCTCAACGCGGGAGAGACCGTTAAAGTTCCTATCTGTTGCAGATAATGCCCTTGGACGGTATTCAAAAATTTACAAACTCTATATCACTTTATACCAACATAAAGTGTGTCATTTCTTTTAACAAAAAATTATTGTTCTTGTTCTTCAGCGAGGTTTCGGAGGCTATAGTAAACTCCTTGACAATCTCCATCGAGTCTCTCAATATATCGGGTATAGGACTAGGTCCTGTTGGGTTTCTTGAGCTAGGCAGAAAACTTGTAAAAGGGTTGAAGAAGCTGCGGAGTATCAATATAAGGTTCATAGCAAACCCATCTCCTCTGTTTTCTGTACACATTGCACTGCTCCACCTTCAGTTTCTCATGTTCCTTTTGCGGTTTCCCGTTATAGCAAAAACCGTGGAGGACTAGAGACCGCTAGATTTCTGTCAAAGCTCATACCACTGGCACCAAAACTCGTCTCAGTCGATGCATCCTACAATCTTATGCCACCCGAATCCTTGCTTATGCTACGTGATTCCCTGAGAAGTGCAAAAGGTAAGAATACATCTGGAATCGGTTTCCATCCTCAGCTTGATTCTTGGGCCACTTTACTCATTTTTTATTTATTATGTAATGATTGTGTTCAGGTGATCTCAAACGTCTTGACATGACCGGGAATAACTGCATCAGCCACGAAGCTGATCATTCTTCTCTCCTTGGTGAATTTCAACACAACAGAGAACCCATCTTCGTTTTATCTTCATCCTCGGCTTCACATGTTCCTTACGATGATGAGCCGTAGATAATTCCCCTAATACCCGTCTGTATCATTCGGTCTGGTACGGTTCACTAGTAAATTCATTAGGTTTGGTATGCGCATTAGGTTGACTGTAATTTTATGTGTGACTTGAATAATTTCGAAATATGGAAGTTCACTAATTGAATTTCAATTTGGTTGAGAATTGCAGCTTGGTCTAATCCCGCTAAGTTACTACTACACTACGCATGACCTGTTGAATTTGATTGGTTTGATGTTATATGGTTTGCTGGTTTTGTTAAAATTATGTATACTCGTATTTCGTCATTATATCTTTATAGTTGCAACTCCAATGATTGTAAACTAGTTTTGTGTTTATAACCTTATTCAACTTGTATATTTTGAAGAAATACAAAAAAATAAAAGTTTTCAAAGTAGAAATATCACTGCATATGGGCATCGAGAGGAGGTGTACAAGGGTAGATGCAAACACATACTCCAGGTCGACCACTGCTACGGTCACAGTATCCACTGGCAAAATCTCCAAATCTATGCCAGCACTTGGGACTACAGTTTTTACCCACTTCGCATGGTCCAATTGTTGTCGAGCATCCCATATTCTCCTTAACTACAATATCCAAAAGAAAAAAAACTCATTTTAATACTTAGATGACATAATTATACCATTTCCGAGAAATTTGAGTAAACCTCAAATATAAATATATACATAAGGAGAATATAACAAAGAACTACAGTATTCAGGGGGATATGGATAATGAACAGAGTATTGTATACCTAAGGCAAACATAACAAGGAAGATGATGGGGAGAACAAGTGTAAAAGCTGTCTTGGCCATAGTATTTGTTTGCTTCCCTTATCTTAGAATTAATAGTGAGTTTAGTTGGTAAACATGAAAAAGTGGGTGGCTACTAGAATAATATTTTTATAGAATTGCGAGGTGACCGAGAGTCATAAATATAATTATTTACCTCCTTATTTGTTTTGTTTGAACACAAATTATTTGACTGTATTTTTATGTGTACGACTAATAAATATGGAAGTTCATTAATGTCATGTTTGAACGCATTAGTTTTGGCATGAGTTAACATAATCAGAAAACTGTGAAAGTTCATTCAAAATTTCAAATATCTAAAGCTTTCTGAATTTTGTTACAAGTTTTCCAAAAATGTAACAAGCTTTCAAATCCATATCTTCTTTTTAGAAAATTTGTATAAGGGTTGAAGAAGCTGTTGAATATCATTACATGGTTCAGAGCAAATCCATAACTTTCTGTTTTTAATACACTTGTTTCTTTTGTGGGTTGCCTTCCTTTCAGTGTCCTCATGTTCCTTTTGCGGTTTCCTGTTATAACAAAAACCGTGGAGGACGAGCCAGTACCGGTTTTGAACACAATTTTTCAGACAATTGTATGGGATACTTTTGAAGAAGCAACTTAAAACATGATAGTTTTTTTCTCCTTTTTTGTCATGTTTCGCTAAATTTTGCACTTTTTTTGTCATTTGTTTTTTTTTTTCTTATTTCATTTTTTCAGTAGTAACTAGAATGAAAATAAAAAAATAAACTATCATCCGATTCATTGAAAATAAAATAAAATCAATCTTCCTTTAACTTTCATCATTGGCTTCACATGTTCCTAATGACGATGAGCCGTAGCTAATTGCTATTTACCGGGAATTTTGTTGTTTATCCTTTGTTCTGGTAAGGTTCAACGTTCTTGTTGAACCATTAATTTTAGAGGTAGATACTCTTGTATGGTTTGGTTTAGCAGTGATATATTGATTTGGTATGGCATTCTATTAGGTAGGTTAACGTGATGATTATCCAGAGTTAAAATTTGTCTACACCAGCCATTTTTGTTATATATCCTTCGTTCTGGTTTGACATGTTAGACTAATTTTCAAGATAATTTTCTTCAAAAAGGTTGTATATATAGTTACAAATTGTCAGAAGTATCTAATTCTAAGACGAATATTGTAAGTTTTATAAGTTTTGTTTGGTTCCATTTGATAAATTTTGGTTGTAGACACTTTAATCTATATTTCGATCTAACTCCAACAACTTCAAATAGCACTGTGTTTTAGACATTTATTGATTTCCAAGACTATCGGATATATTGCTTTGAAAACACTGCCACAAACAATGACAATTACAACTTTGACATTTTTGAATTTATATGTTTTGTGAGGAGCTGAAAGATTTCAAAGTAGAAAATCATATATGAGCCTCATTAGGCGGACAAGGGTAGACGCAAACACATTCTCCAGCTCCACCAGAGCTGCGGTCACAGAAACCATTGGCGTTTTCTCCAAACGTAGCCCTGCACTTGAGAGTACAGTTCTTACCGATTTCACACGGTCCCATACTTGCCGTGCATCCCATACGTACTCTGCTCAACTATGCCCAACAATGCCATTTTCATAACAAAATTATTACTATTTAGGAGAAATTAATGCATTGAACTAGCTACAACATATGACATGTATACCAAAGAATAAAGCTGAACTTAAAATCCAAGTAGATAATATGTGAAAGCTTTTGAAAATTGGTAAGAGTAAACCTAAGGAAAAAAGGAACTACAAATTGGGGGATATGACAGTTACAGAACCGAAGTTTACGTTATTTTTTTTTTTGTGTGTGAAAAGATTTGCATATAATTTGATTAGTAAACAAGTGGATAAATCAAAATGTATACGGTACCTAAGCCAAACATAACAAGGAATTTGATGGAGAGAACAGATGTATACACCGCTTTAGCCATATTTGTTTGTTTCCTTCTCTTAAATTATTTTTATTACTGATTTTTAGTTGATAGAACTGAAAAACTAAGTGATTATGATATTTATGGAATTACAAGATGAGCCAGTTTCAGAAATATAATAATTTACCATTATATGATATTGACCACAAATTAGTTGACCATGATATTATGTGTACTACGTACTTATAAATATGGAAGCTCACGCATGTCATGTTGAATGCAATAGTTTTGGTATGTTATTTTAGTGTATTTATAATTTTGGGATAATTCTTTTTTTTTCGGTATTATTGAAAATGTTCCTTTCTTTCTTAAACCCTTCATCAAAGTAGAAAACTATAAACACCCATAATCTAGTTATAAATATGTACTGATATAAAACCTATAAATGCATTTGGTAACATAAGTATCTTTATAGTAATAGAATAAAAGCACAAATTGCAAAATTTTGGAAATTTTCATAAACATTATGAAATATTCACATATTTTGGGGTAATTTTATATAATTTTTTCACATGTTCAACGTCCTCGGTGAAATTTTCATTTACCTTTTATATCTAACCCCAAAAATCTGAAATATTTTAAACCCTAACATCCGGAAACACTGATCAGTCGCTTCATCGAGATGAAATGTTTATGATTGTATCAACCATTGCCAATTTGCCATCGTCAACATCCATCCATCATGGCGGACTAATTCAGTTTATTGGTAATATGTTTGGTATGTTCTGTTAGGTCAGTTCAATGTTAGTACCTTAGACAAAATGGATTGATCCATGCCGGTTTAATTATTGTTAGATCCTCTGGTTCAGTTCGGTTTGATAGTGAATTCAATGGTTTAGTATGTGATTTTTTTCTGATGGGTTCGGTTAAAGATTAAAGAAGTCATGTTACTGACCTTTTTTTTTGATAAATCTTATCGGCTGATCCGGTCGGCCCCGGTAAGAACGTACTGAAGTGCTATAATGTGGACTTCTTTACCACTGGATCACAACGATGCGGGCTGTTACTGACTTGCGATCAAAGTCACTTATTTTGCCCTTATTTATAATATGTTAGTGCAAGACTTGTATTTCTTTATGTTTATACATTGACTTAGTATTTTATTTGCCTAACCTAATTGTAATTAATATATATTTTTTTTTATCAGCAATCCAAGTAAATGATTATTTTGAAAGTGATAAACAAATACTAGATTACATAGGAACTCCAAAGGATAAGATAATAAAAAAGGGTGGGAAAGTCTTTAGCATTAAGACTTGTCAATTACGTTTTGCCTGCTTGGCCCGCACCAGCTGTTTAAGATCACCCGGCGTATCAACAATTGGTTAATCATGTGATTAACTTATTATCAAAATTCAAAAAGCCTTTGATATCTAAAATCACCATTTCATGTTTACAACTTATTAATCCACTTATGAACCGACATCTTCGGTTGGGTGGTCAATATAAATCCATATATTTCACAATAGTGAATCAAATCGATAATTATTATACCATATATTATTTTATTATTATAGAGTTTTAAATTTCCTTTTGACTATAAATTGATTATACATCATTTGGATTTATTCCGGTCTGGTTAGGTTGGTGATAGACATAATAACTAATTTCTAATCTAATGTTATTTAATGAAATAAATATAAACTAATGAGCAATTTAATTTGTTTTTCTTAGAACTTTACCAACCACTGAGTAGAAGCATTTTATCTGATTTTTTTCCGGGTTTGTTTTTTTTTTAGATTCAACATTTAGTCAAAACATACATTTGATTTTTAGTTTATATTTGGTGTCAATGTAATTTTTCAAAATATAATTAAAACCACTATCGTGACGTATCGTCAAATTTAAATTAAGTTTAGTTGGGACTTGGCACTTGGTTGGGAGTTGGGACCATAACAAAGTAGTAGTAGTAGTGGCATGTTACCGTAATTACTAAAAGGAAAAAGGGTAAATGTTTTCCCAGTTGGCTAGCCAACCACATGCTTTCGTTTATCTTCCTTCAAAAATGGAGAGAGAGAGAGAGAGAGTCTTTTACTAGTCGCCTTTACTCTTTCTTCTACAGTTCTAATTACACAAATTAAGCGGCACTCTTCTCCGCTAAATCCCTTTGTTTTCTCTCTCTAAACGCATCACATTACACAGACAAAAACACACACACACACTCTCTCTCTCCCTCCCTCGGTTCACTGAGTCCTCCTTGGATCGATTCGGTTGTATAAATCTGATTAGAGATTAGGCAGATCTGAACGGAGGAGAGCCAGATCGGAATCGAAACGGTGGTTTGGTGATGGAGGAGGCGCTGGAAATGGCGCGAGCCAAGGACACGAAGGAGCGCATGGCGGCGGTGGAGCGGCTGCACCAGCTTCTGGAAGCTTCTAGAAAGAGCCTGAGCCCGGCGGAAGTGACATCACTGGTTGATTGTTGTTTGGATCTCCTCAAGGACAGCAATTTCAGAGTCTCTCAGGGTGCGCTTCAGGCGCTT